GAACATTCCCAAAGTTCTGAGCACCTTGGAGGAATTAGGGAAAACCCCATCTCAGCCAAAGGAAAATCCCAATTTTTTTTAGGATTCTGAGCATCACTCAGGGAAAGAATTCCCTATGGATCAAGTCTGGTATTGCAATGAAAGAAATTCCCTGTGCTTGAGCTCAGCTTTATTAAAACCTCTCCTCTTCCAGGTGCAGCTCAGCTTTTCCATCCTATTTTTAGGGAATTCCAGCTGGTGATGCTTCCATGGAATTCCTGCATTCCTGAGCTGGAGCCTGGATTTGGGAATGTCGATTCCATGTCTTCCAAAGTAGCATTTCCAAAGCTGAGACGCTCAGGATTAATTACATTTAATTACAACTCCCAAGCCTTGACTCATCCCAATAAAAAGCAGGAATGGGAATGTGCTCCCACAATTCCATGCTCCATCCCAAGGCCCAGCATTCCCTCCAAGGAAAAATGGGATCCAGCACTTCCTGCATGGTTCCACAGCACAATTCCCACCTGGAATGCCACCAAATATTCCCAGTGGAACATCCCCCTCCTGCTTTTCCTTGGAAAACAAACAAAAAAAAAAAAACCTGGAAGCACAAATGGCTGCACACTGTTACCTTCAGGCCTCACTTGAATTCTTCCTGAAATAATAAAAAAAAAAAAAAAACTGAGGAAAAACTTGGAATTTCGGGACATTTTAGAACGCCCAACTGAAAATCCACCTGGTTTTTCCAGAGAATTCCTTGGAATTTTTACCCCCTCTGCACTTTGCATGTCCTTTTCCACGAGGAAATTTGCAAATTTTTTTTTTTTTCTTCATTCCTAAAAATATCAAGGAGCTGCTTTTCCTGTATTTAGAAAATTCCCAGATTCCTGAAGACAACACAGATTGGAATAAGGAGCACGTGGAGCCTGAGATTTTCAAAATTCCAAGAGTTTTATTTAAATAAAAATTCCTGGCAAACTTCCCGTGGAATTCTCTTGTTAATATATTAATTATTGTAATTAATCTGTTATTTATTAAAGGATTAAATTATAAAATTTGGGGAAAATGGGAGTAAAAAGCCTGGGGGGGTTTTGTTTTCTGGGAATCACCTGGATAAAGAAAAAAATTCCTGGGAAAAACAAAGAAATTCCTGAGAAAAATGAAAAAATTCCAAGGCAAAAATGACAAAAATCCCATTTTTTGAAAGCGTTGGACTTCCAATTTTTCATCCCCAAAAATACCAAGGATCCACTTCCCTTAATTTAGAAAATTGGAAAAACTTGGAAAAAACAGTGGGGATAAAGCCTGAGGAGTTTTGTTTTCCTGGATAAGGAGAAAAAATCCAGGAAAAATTTTAAAAGTGGGATAAAAACTATCAAAAATGAGATTTTTTTGGACTATTATTAAATGATTTTGGGAATATCCCAAAGTCTCTTTTTCCAAAAGGAAATTCCAGCTCAGGGCACAAATCCAGCTGGGATTGGAGTTTCTATTCCATGTTTTCTATTTGTTTTCCCAGAATTTCCCAAAATCCAGGATAAATCCTTGTTTTTTCCAAGCCCCCAGAATTCCAAAGCAGTGCAGGATCACCCCTGAGGTCTCCCAAGGAGAAATAAAAATATTGGAGCATGGGAAAAATCAGGAAATATTTGGGAATAGCAGCTTCCAAATGCAATGGGAAAAGTCCTGAGTTGGGAAAAGCAGGAAAAGGAATTCCAGGAATTCCAGGAATTTTGAGGAGCTTTGGGATGAGCTCTCTGTCCCATTCCAAGAAATCCCATCCAAAACTGGTGTTTCCCAAAGAAATTCATTTTCTGGGAATTCTCCAGTGCAAAAAAGAGCAAGGAAAAGGAGATTTTTTTTTTCTGGGAATTATTTGTGGGAAAAGAGGATAAAATTTAAAAAATAACCAATAAAACCTTAACTGCTTGGAAAAAAAAATTCCCAAAAAATTCCCAGAGGTTGGAGATGAAAATTCCAGCCTTTCCAGTGTGTTTGGGATCAGGAAAACCTCGGCTGGGGAGGAATTCTTCCCTTTAAAGACAACCAGGGATACAATTCCCGTTTTTTCCAGTTGGGGATTTGGTCCAGAAAATTTGGGAAAAGGAGAATTTTCCCTATGGATCAGGATCTGTGGGAGTTTTCCTTTGGATGCAGCCGGATCTTCTGGATGTGTTCGTAGCACGACTGGGGAGGGAACAGAGCAAAAATTAGGGAAAAATTGGGGAATTCTGGGATCAAATCCAAGCTCCTGCAGCCAGAGAATCCCTGCTGATCCCGAGGGTAATTCCAACAGAATTCAGAAATTAAGGATAAGGATTTTTTTTTTTTTTTTTCTCCCCAGCCTGGCAAGGCAATAAATTCCTAAAAATTCCACTCCAGAAAAGTTGGAATTCCTGGAAAATATTTCCATTACCTCCAGTGCCGTCAGCAGGAAGTCCAACATTCCACCCTGGTTGGTGGGATCCATCAAATCCCGGATCAGATGGATTTCAGCTCCCAGGTGTTGGATCCTATGGAAAAAAATCAATCCCAAAATCCAGAAAAAAAAAAAAAATCTCAGGGCACATGGAAAGGGGGGGGGGGGTTGGAATTTTGGAGAGGAGGAGGGAAATTGTGGAATTCCAGAGCTGATTCCCAGTGCATCCTGATCTGCTGGAGGTGGATCTGGGATCTCAGAATTCCAGAATCCCAGAATTCCAGAGGGTTTGGGGCTGGAAAACTCCTTCAGGATGATCCATGGGCAGGGATCTCCATTATCCCGATTTTCTCCATCCCAGGAACGCTTCCAGGGATGGAGCAGCCACAACTTGTGATGCTCCATCCCAAGGAAATTCCAATTGCTGGATGGAATTTTGGATTTCTCATCTCCCATCTGAATCCCAGTCTCTGCTGAGGATGGGAAATTCCTATAGGAATCCCAGAATTCCAAAATCCCAGAATTCCAAAGTGTTTGGGGTTGGAAAGGTCCTTCGAGATAATCCATGGGCAACGACCTCCCACTGTCCCAATTTTCTCTGGGGACACTCTGGAATTCTGGGATAAAAGGAATCTCATTGTCCCTGAAAACTCTGGAATTTCCTCTGGGATAAGAGATAGACACTCTGGAATTCTGGGATAACAGGAACCCCATTTTCCATGAAAACCCTGGAATTTCCTATGGGATAAGAGATAGACACTCTGGAATTCTGGGATAAAAGGAATCTCATTTCCATGAAAACTCTGGAATATTGTCTGGGATAAGACATGGACACTCTGGAATTCTGGGATAACAGGATCCCCATTTTCCATGAAATATCCTTTAGGATACGACACGGACACTCCAGAATTCCATCAGCACTTTATATCCCAAAAACCCAACCACACCTCTGGATAAAAACCCACATCCAACCCCAAATCCCAACGGTTTTCATTGGAATTCTTCCACCTGGAAATATTCCAGAGGGGGGGGGAAAAAAAATTCCACTCACTTGGCTCTGGACACAACGAACATGAGGAGGGGCAGGAGATCATCCATGGGCAGCCGGAATTCCTTCTCCAGCAGCCGTGACACCGTGTGCTCCAGCTCCTCGTAGGTTTTCCTGAGGATTTCCAGCTTTTCCCTGGGATCCACCGTGGTGCTGTTGGGATAAAAGAGCCGTGGAAAAGCAGCGTCAGGAAAAGAGGGGTTTAAAAAAAAAAAAAAAAAAAAAA